CGTCCTTGGAGTGCCGGGTCCTGCGCAAAGCCCGGAGCCCGGAGCTGGCAGGGAGGGCGGACTCCTGCCGACGCTCCGCTGGACCTTTTTTGTGTTTTGGGGTGTGGAGCCCCCTTCTAGACTCTGAAGTCTCTCCGGTAACATAGTACTATTTTATTTTAAGAAATGTATGGACCAAAGTGGATTTGCCTTTCGGGATGCACATCGCAGGTGTGCACATTCTAAACCCAAACGAGCGATTGGGAATAGCTCTTTAAAGTCAAAAATGCATAACTAGCTGTTCTGTCGTCCTGTGCAAATTAGAATTGCACTTTCTAGTCCCAGTCATTCGGTGTGTATGCTCGCATTTAGAAGTCGGGAGTAACTTGCTTTTCCTCCTGAGTTAGTTACACCACCCCACTCCCGTTGGCTATTAAATCCATGAAAAGTGAAACACGATGGTAGCCAAGCTTCCAAGGTTAGAGACTCAGTGCAAACCTTTCAGGGCTGATCAAATCTTGAGGGCACCGGCTTATCGAAGTCCTGCAGGCAGCAACACCGTCGCTGGCCGGTGTTTCCACGCCGAGGTGAACCTGGCCATCTGTGGTCAACATCTTATCTCGGGTGTTACCTGGTGTCGGGTTCTAAGGGGGAACCGGACACCAGGGCGGGTCCAGAGCCCGGCTTGAGGCCGCGCCGACTGGGGACCCCAGGGGTCAGGCACCTGGTTCCGAATCAGCGACGCCTCGCGACCGCCCCGGGCGCGTCTGGGGCCCTGTTCGGCTCCCTCGCCCCCCTCTCCCCAGTCTCCCGGGCAGCGCCGCGCTTTGTTGTCGCCGAGGCTCGGGAGGGAGGAGGAGCCCGTGGGGACGGCTGCGGGAGCCCGCTGAGCCCCGGCTCGCGGCGCGCGCCCCGACACCCACGCCCCGCACCCAGCACAGCCGGCCCGCCGCCCCAGCCCTCCCCCTGGGCGGGGACCCGCCCGCCCGCCGTCAGCCTAGGTTGAGGCGCCCTGCGTGTGTCTATAACTTTGTGCTGCTGCCGCGGCCGTCCTGCTCGTGGAAGGGAGGAGGAGGAGGAATGTGGAAGGGGGGGGCGCGCAGGGCGACAGGCGGGTCCTCCGGGGC